AAAATATGTCTTGATTTCAGTAGCCTATTTGTGATATTTAATTTCAAACCACTGCCTTGTTTCCCTTGAAACTCCCTCTGAAGACGCTATTTACTTTAGCACGAAAATTACTTTTCGCCATTTTTTCATCCGATATGCCCTTGTTTGGTCTGATCGTTGTCCAGTGGCCACAGTAGCTCGGTCAGTTGAGCTTCAGTCGAAAAATACTGAGGTAGTTAAATGAATGACTGGGAAGGAAGCAACAAACTACATGCTATAATGGCCACCGGGTTGCAGATATCGTCTTCAGAAAGATCAAGGCACTGCTGACTGATGGAGTTTTAGTGGAGAACGTCGCCGTGCCATAAGCTCTTTAAGAGGGCTGTTATAAATTATAGGGTGCATGAGAAATCGGCATTGAGACCGTCCAAACTTTTATCTTCCGCTGCTTGAAGGCAAAGTTTTTACCTTTCTGGTTACTTTGTACAGAAGCATATCGCACACTTGAATTAGTAATCTGGGTCTGAATAAAACTTCCCATATACAAGTAGCAAATTAATTTGAATGAGCAAGAACGACGAGTAAACCTAGCGCAGCAGCGTTGGCTTCCTCTCATAATGAGGGTCTTATGGCAGGAACACATCAGTACTCCATTCTCTTCCAGGGACAAGTGACTTTAACAGGCGTGAAGATTAGGTAAAGGAGGTTGGCCCTGTTAGACAGACTGAATGAGCTAAACTGTTTGCTCTTGTCTTTTATCTTCTCGTATGAGAGCCAAAATGCGGCACTCAGTGACCAGGACGGCAGCACGCAACATCGAAGAATACGGCTGAGGCAGAGCTACTTTCAGAAGGGAGTTTCGTCTACAATACGGTAACCATTGTGTTATAGTAAATGTGTTGAAAATGCTGCGAATACAGCGGACGCTACAAGCCGGACGCTGCTTAGGTTATGTTCTGCTTATGCAAACGGATCAGTGTGATAATATCAGCAAACAAAGGAAACGTAGAAGTAAAGTAGCTACGAGCGTCCTGCAGCGGTGCCGAACTTTTACACGTATCTTACCTATATCGCTACCCCTTATCCGGGATGAGGGAAAAGTGGTGATGTTGCTGACTTTCTTCAAAATATCGTTTTACATCGTTTCGCTTATTGAACTGATGAACTGTGCTTACTAGTGGCGGCGTCGTCTGATGAATGCCGTGCGAAACCGAACCGTGAGTTTACTCTGTTTCACGTGTGCTTGGTTCTAGCTGTTAGGTCGTGTTGTGTACCTGTGTTATCGACATGTGCGTCTTTTACGTCGTCGAGACGTTGATGCCATCGTTTTATCTGCGGGCACTAATCTTTGCCATGTTTTAGATTGATGGAGGCGGCAGCGGCGACGACGAGGTTAGTTGAGGGAGCGCGTGGCTGGTTTTAATTCATGGCATTATTTTAGGGTGTTTTCACCATTCCGGGTAAGTGCCAACGCTGCGGCAGATCGACGCCATTAACCGTGCCCCTTTTGTTACTTCAGAGAGTCGCGAAACGAGTCTGCCTCCTTTGCTTTCTCCGCCACCGCCGTTCTATCCGGAAACCGGTAAGCGTGTTTTCTCGTCCGTTCGTTCGCCGGCGAGGTTCGAACGCTTAACACGAACGGCCTTCGATCGGGTCATTCGAGTAGCGATGAGGTGGCATGCCCAGAAGCATTCGTTTTTAAGAACATGACATAGCATAGGGCAGAATTTAAACCCTATAAACCGCTTTTGCACGGTTTAACTGTTAGCGTCAGCAACGTTTCTGAACAAATCGTTCGGCATTTGCGTAAAGTAGAAATGGTTTATTGTGCAGATGTTGCGACATATTATTGCGGCTTATTCAGGGCTAAATTTCATCTGTTTTCTACCAGCCTGTGAATCTCAGTTTCAAAGAAAACCAACCACATTGTCGCTTGAAGTGAATAATGCTCTTTATATGCACTGTTTCGACTTCCGCTGTCTGCCGTACCATCAAACCGGCACTGTGTAGTATCTGAGAATAAATGCTGCTCTTTTCTGTACAGTAGCTTGGTTTATCGATCGTTTGGTTGCGCGGATGAACTCCATTTTAAAAGATTATTCGTCATTTCGAAACTGTGTTCCAAGACTTCGAAGTCTTCCATTATAACTGTTTACTTTGGTCACCCTTAGGTAATTTCAAATTACACCTCTGGTTTCAAAAGTAAAAACGAGCGACAATTGCATATGTACAGTGCACAGAACTGGATCAAGCAGGTAACGCAGTGGGTATCTGCTCGTTTTAACGTCGGTCTTTTTATAAGGTGCTGGTTATGAACCTCTGACATTTGTGACAGAGGGTGGTTCTTCTTAGACCACCAGCAATTTCTGACTTGCATTTCAGTAACTGCAGACTTATACAATAAGGTCGTGGCAGATAGAAGTAGGTACAGAGTAGCCAGCTACTCGGCAATACGTTTTTTGACTCGGCTGTTCCCAGTCACTCGTTATAGTAAAGTTTTGAATGATTGTTTGGTCTGTCAAGTTCGAGTTGTTGAAATTGTCGCCTCAACTGTTATAGCCAAAGACGAAGCAGTTGATAATTTAATTCTGCCTTCGCCAACTACACTAGATGACCGTGCGCTGAAAACTGCAGTAACCATGAAATCTCTTGATGAAGAGCTTTGCGGTAGGCAGCAAAGCGTAACGCCGATTTGATTGTTAGTCGTGCTTCAGAAAGTTGAGTTATGGCCGGGTGTTCTTGTGCGCATCTTGGCCGGTTCACCGGTGCTTACGTGCCGTAAAGCTTTCTGTGCCAAAAGTTGATGTCATAGTGTGCTGCAGAGTTTGTTTTAATTGCGTCTGTAGCGTCACAGCTTTCCTGGGTATCGCATGTAATTTGTTAGAGCTGACGGACAAGTTCTGCATATGCTTGTCCTTAACTAAAGCTTGAAAATCGGTGGTATAAAACGCAGTCCAGTGAAGTAGAAGCATGACCGAATATACAAGCTTACGTTGTGTTTAAAAGTTTAATCTAGGCATTAAAGGCGAGAAAGGCGACCCAGGTGCAATGGGCCCGAAAGTGAGTTTGTGTCCATTTTCGAAGTTACGAAGTAACGCGCTGGCACAATTTCAGGGGGACAAAGGCGATAGCGTTGTTGGTGAACCGGGAACCCCTGGTTCATCGGTGAAAGGTGACAAAGGTGACCGTGGCGAACCGGGTCCGCCGGGACAGGTGAATGCAACTTTTATAGCGAAGTACTGATGAAGCACCGTAAACATTTAGTGCGAATGCGACCTGTCAGCATATGTCAGCCAGCTGCAAGGAATTCAGGCCCAACCAGCAGCGAAAGGCGAGAAGGTACTGTCACCTGTGAACGAGTGCGTTCTGTGCTAATATATACTAAATTCTTGCTGTAGGGCGAAGCAGCCGAAGCCGGAATTTATCAGCTGACAATGGAGGACAGACATCAGTTAAGAGGAGAAAAGGTTCGTTCATTCGTTCTTAGTATTGTGGAATACAGTAGACTGGTTTGCTGTGCAGGGCGAGAAAGGTGACAGAGGTGACATTATTTACGCTAACGTTCCAGAAATGAACTATATTCCTGGTCAGAAGGTAAAGTAAGAATCAGTTTATTATCGGTTATAATAAAGAATTTTTTATTTTAGGGTGAAGTAGGTCCTCCCGGTCCGCAAGGCCCTCCTGGACTGCCAGGGCCTCAAGGCCCACCTGGTAGAATGGGACCGCAGGGACCTGTTGGAGAAATTGGCCCATCTGGTTTTCCGGTAAGTACTGTATTGCCTTATAAAAAATTAAGGGTTTTTACGCTTTTGTTAAAGATTTACGTTTCCAATTAATGCAGGCATGTAATGAGGACTATTGTTATCACATGGGTTTCTACTAACGTTTTTCTCACGTTCGTAGAGCAACGTGAGTAATCTGATCGTATATCCCTGTTGAAACTACTACGGTGAAACTGTTTGATTCAGATGATGTAAGCGATAGCGAGGTCAAGCTGCAATGTCTAACAGCTAAAAAATGATTTAAGTCACCATATGGAGAGGATGCATTCATCTTTACTCTAGTTTTATTAGCGAAAGAAACTGGATACATCTGCAGATTAAGTTGGGGTTAAAATTGGCCTCACTGAAGTGCAGTTATCTGTGTTTTTGTCTCTTCTCGGTTGTTTCGTGAGCTTTGATGTTCCGGTGAAAAATGGACTGTTCAAATTAATGAACACGTATCATTTTCTTTCGCCTGATGCAAACGCCGACTTCGAATGCTGAGGGAATTGTTTAAGCCGTATGGCGCTGTTTCGTTTTGAACAATGCATTTCAGCTCTTATGTTAGGTACTCTTTGCTTAATACGGAGCGATTTTAAGAACTGCCGGTTTGTTTTCGACAAATCGACAATTTGTGTGAATGCTTTTCTTAGGCAAAACTTCGCTTAGAAATACTGTTGCCTAGAAGACTCATATGCGTTGCTACTGGTTTGATTAGTGATTGTGATACCGCGAAATTGCTGTCACTCTATTTGTCATTTGGCAGAACAATGCCCTTGTTTATCTCCGTTGTTTAGGGTCAACCAGGAGAACCAGGTCAGAGCATCAAAGGAGAGAAAGGTGAACCTGGTGGATATGCTTATGTAAGTATATAAACAGAAAGGAGCGGCTGTTGGTCACAAGTGTATTGCTTCAAATATTGCTTTTAGACTTCGGACGATTACAAACATGCACCAGTGCCGGGCCCCCCTGGTTCTCCTGGTCAGCGTGGACCACCGGGTCCAGCAGGACCGCAAGGACCAGCTGGGCCTCAAGGCCGTCAGGGCCTTATGGGATATCCGGTAAATTAAATGGTCTTAGAATCTTTTACGGTATACCATTGTTTAGGGTCCTCCCGGTCCGCCTGGCGAACCCGGTCCTGCGGTAAATTTGTTTCTTGTGTATCAGGGTAATACTTATACACAATTATGTGCGTTACATAGAGTACGTTTTCCAACGTCGTCCCTGGCGCTGATCATCCGTACGCAAGGGTAAGTGAGAATGTATGAATTTTCTGGTAATTTATAGGTCATACTATGCTTTACGGACTTAGGGTGAACCCGGAGTTGGTTTGCCGGGCCCGCAAGGACCTGCTGGACCTCAAGGGCCCCCTGGAATACAAGGCCCTCCAGGCAAATGCTGCGGCGATGACGCCAACATTCTTAAGTCTACGCGAGCAAAGAAAATTATTCCAGGCGTACGGCCTTATTGATTTCATTTAGTATCGTACAGCTGATTATTTTTCAGGTTTTGATATTTTCGACTAACTTGCACTTGATCTATGCATCCAACAGAGTTCCGGTTGGTACACTGGCCTTCTCTTCTTCGTCAGAGCAGCTTTTTGTGCGCGTTAGAGATGGTTGGCGAATTGTCAAGGTAGTGTAATTAATCACAGTTTTGTCTGAATTTTTAATTTTGTTTTTATAGCTTGACAGCTTCCATCACACTTTAGAAGATTACACGGAAAAAGTAAATTTGGTGGTTCGTAGTTGCACTGTTTCGCTTAGAATTTCTGCGAATATCGAGCCTTTCCTTTAATGCCGTATTCTTTTTTCAAGAAGGCTGATCCTTTTAGACTTTTTCATGCATATTCTCTCCCTCAACACTGCTCTTTTTCTCTGTTACTTTTTATCGTTACCGTTAACATAAGATTTGAGTAAATTAGGTAAAACAGAAAGGGGCATTATAGCGATTTGGTAAATGTGGTAAATCAAGTGATTG